ACCCTAAAATAGTATAGCCGACCGGCTGTACTCCTCAAATAGAATATTTGAACAGTATAGCCGTACGACCATACACCAAAATAGAATATTTTAAAGTATAGCCGACCGGCTATAACCTGTGAATAGCAAACTAAGAAAATAAATATAAACTTATTATCTTTAAGTCAATAAAATTCTTAATGAGTAATTAATCGCAAAGTAAACCATAAATAAAACATATGCAACAATTAAAGTGATTAAAATACACAAATTCATATTATGGTATTTATAAAACTAGTCAAGAGTATTATCCATTACGTTTAGGCCATTACCAAGGTATAGCTATTGTTCCCTTTTAATTCTTTTTTCTTTTCCAGAGTTATTACCCGCATAAAGAATTTAGCATGCTCCCCATTTGATAAGCGTGCGCACGTAATTTTCAATAATACTTCCGTTTTTCGTATACGTCTTAAAGACTCGATATAATGAAGGCAAACATATAGTACACGTATTGTACGCGCACACACGTATTTTAATGATTGTTCAATATCAAAGAACCATAAACAAAGTCCACAAAACAATTCAAAACAATTAATTACTATGTACCAAGTAATTTACGAAATCAGTAAAATATTTAAATATTCTCTAAAGAAATAATAATTACTAATTAAAGTAATTAAAAAAAGGCTAAGGTATTACTTAATTACATGTATTAAATTAAAGGAGTTGGCCAAAATACAAAAGTGAAGAATATAATTTTATATTTTTAAAATTTTCCAATATAAAAAATAAAAAATAAAAAATAAAAAATAAATAAAAACAGTATAGCCGAACGGCTATACCGTTAAAACATTCAATTTAGTATTCCTGACCTTGGAATAGTATAGCCGCGCGGCTGTACGCCTCTATATTTCAAAACAGAATATTTTAAAGTATGGCCGGGCGGCTATACCCTGTGAGCAGCAAACTAAGAGAATAAATATAAACTTATTATCTTTAGCACAAATATGCAAAAGTAAAAAATATTATGGTATTTATAAACTAAGAGAACAAATATGCAAAAGTAAAAAATATAATTTTCATTTAGGTGTCTTAATTAAATTTTCTCATAGCCCAAGAGCCCCATGGCCCATTGCCCAAGTCTATGATTAATATAATTATTATTAATGAAAGCCGAATCCAAAGCTTGGCCCAACTCTCCAATATTAACCACACTTACAAAACGGTAATAGTGCTTTGTTTATAAACACGTTTATAAGAGTGTGGATTTTTGATTTGGGATTTTCACAAAAGGCACCTCAAAAGATAACATATTATGGTCAAAGTTAAACCTTAGAAATTTTATATTATGCTGTCACTTTTAATATTGTAGCTGGGAAACTTGTATATCTTTGGGACAAAAATGAAGAAGAAGAAAACAATGACGAAGAAAATTTTCCTAAAAAGAACTCACGTTACGAAATCTACTTTCTGAAAGGTACGGGTTTGCCCAATGTGAAATGACTTGACCCACCTTTCACAAGTCAATTTTTGAAAGGACAAAAAGAAAAAAAATATGAAAAAAGAAGAAGAAACAAAATAAGAAAACTAGACGTTACAAATCATAACGGCTAGATTTTTGTTTCAAAGTTTGAATAGAATTCTGAGAGCCCTCATTTTGAAATTTCATTCCTTTTGTCTTCGTTTCCTTTCCAGGACTCTTCCATTTTTATCTCTCTCTCTCTCTCTCTCTCTCTCATCGCCCCCCATCTTCAAGATCTGTCTGCAACTGATCTTGAATCTTTAATTGTAGTAATGGCTCCAACGCCTTCTTCTTCCAAATCCAATCACAGCCACACATCTCTGATGAAGACCCCACAATCCAAGCAGCGTCTCCAGTTCTTGAAAGCACACCCATCTCCAAACCCTAACTCTGCCGCAAAAGAACCACCCGCAGAGCACCCAGTTGAAGTCCTAGCCCGAATCCGAGATTACCCAGATCGAAAAGAACCACAACCAACATCGGTTCTTCAGATCAATCCTCAAAAGCAGAGTATTCGTGTCCGTGCTGATTTTGGGTACCGAGATTTCGCTCTCGACGGGGTTTCTTTATCGGAAGAAGACGATTTGGGGTCGTTTTACAGCAAGTTTGTTCAGTCCAGGATTGACAGTGTGAAATTGGGTGAAAAATGTACAATAATGATGTACGGTCCTACTGGTTCAGGCAAGAGTCACACCATGTTTGGGTGTTGCAAGCAACCTGGGATTGTGTACAGGTCGCTGAAAGACATTCTTGGCGATGGTGGAGAAGATGATTGTGCGGGTTCTATGGCTGGGGCCTTTGTGCAGGTCACTGTTTTGGAGATATATAATGAGGAGATTTATGATTTGTTGTCAAGCAATGGTGGCGGAGGATTCGGCTTTGGATGGTCAAAGGGCAACGGCTCCAATTCTAAGGTGATAACATTAACTGGGTATCTTTCTTTTTGTCCATTGAATTCTTGATGATTTATGAGTTTTATTTATTTATTTTTAAATTGTTCTTTGTGTTTAGAACTGTAAGCCCGAGTGGGTTTTCTGTGCAAGTTTCGATTTTTAGATTTTGTTGTATGTGGCTCACTGTTGATTTTGGTTAAGTTGGTTGTGTTGGCTCAAATTGGAGAGAAGTAAAATTTCTGACTGTTTTCATTTTTTTGAGAATACAGCACTTGTGATGATGATGAGTTTTCTGTTCAAGTCTGGATATTTGGATATGGTTGTGTAGGCTAAAATTAGAGGGAATGGCTCCAATTCTAAGATGATTACATTAACTGGGTCTCTTTTCTTTGACTGAATTCTTAATTATTTATGAGTTTTCTGTCAAATGTTTTTTGTGTTTAGAACTGTAAGTTTGGATATGGAAATGGATTTTCTGTGCAAGCTTGAATTTGTAGATTTGGTTGTGTTGGCCCCTGTCAATTTGGTTGAGTTGGTTGTGTTGGCTCCCTGTAAATTTGGTTGAGTTGGTTGTGTTGGTTTAAATTAGAGAGAACTCGTTATAAAAATCTCAAGACTCTCGAGGGAGCATCTCGTGATGATGATGATAAAGGTTATATTGTATGAGGGATGTGGCTTAGTCTCAAAAATCATAGAAATTTTTTAAAGATAATTAAATATAATTAATTAGTATTATTAAAGAAGTACTATTTGCAATGAAAGAAGTTCTCGGAGCCATTGCATGGTAGGATTCCCTTGGACTTTCAAATATATGATAATTCTTCCCAAGTCTTGTCACTAGTTGTATATAACTTGCTTTCTATTTCTGCACAGATTATCCTTGATGTCCCAACCGCTTGATGCTTGTGGACATGGCTGGCTCTGAAAATATTGAGCAAGCTGGCCAAATTGGATTTGAGGCAAAAATGCAGGTAATGTCTTGGTGGTGCTTAATTTATGCTGATACTGTATGCAGCACTTTCATTGTCATTGTAACAAATGTGAAATTATGGTTATATTGAATTCACAGACTGCAAAGATCAACCAAGGAAACATTGCTCTCAAAAGAGTGGTTGAATCCATTGCCAATGGTGATTCTCATGTGCCTTTCAGAGACAGCAAACTGACCATGCTTCTACAGGTAACTTTTATTCACACTAATGTCAGTTACTAAGGATTATTTGGTGCCCTGCCCTCTAACCTTGTATGTGAATGACAGTTCCCATGTTCTTTTTGTGCAGGATTCTTTCGAAGATGATAAAACAAAAATTTTAATGGTACTGTGTGCAAGCCCAGACCCAAAGGAAATACACAAGACAATCTCCACCCTTGAATATGGTGCAAAAGCAAAATGTATTGTCCGTGGCCCTCATACGCCAATCAAGGATAAAATTGGGACTGAAGATTCATCAGCTGTTATTTTAGGATCAAGGATTGCTGCCATGGATGAATTCATCCTTAAACTGCAAAGGGAAAATAAGCTCAAAGAGAAAGAGCGAAATGAAGCACACAGGGAGTTACAGAAGAAAGAAGAGGTTGCTGCACTGAGAGCTAAACTTGAGCTTATGGAAGGGACAGGATCTGGGAAAAAGGAGGAAGAAATCAACTTGAAGGTGACTGAAGTGGCCCAGACTCTGAAACGTGAGTTGGAAAAGAAGTTGGAGGAATGCCAGCGTATGGCAAATGAGTTTGTTGAATTGGAGAGGAGGAGAATGGAAGAAAGGATATTGCAGCAGCAGCAGGAAGTTGAAATGCTGAGGCGGCGGTTGGAGGAAATTGAGCTTGAGCTATGCCGCTCAGGTGATGGAAATGATAAGGAGAGTGGGACAAAGGACCATGATGGAACCTAGTTTGCCTAAAGGTTGTTAAGGATCTATGCCAGTGATGATGCAGGAGGAATGGTAAAGTCAATGGATTTGGACATGGATGATCAAGAACCTTTTGCTCGTGAGGTGAAATATGTAGGTGGGGTTGCTTATCAATCTGACAGCAGTATTGTAAATGCTGTAAACATTGATTCTTTTGAACCAAAATATGCTGATAGGGTATGCCTAAGCACTGTTTTTGAGGAAGAAGAAATGGAAGAAGAAGAAGGACTTAAGGAAAATGTGGAAGCTGAAGAAGTGGAGAAAGAAGTTATAGAGGAAAAGAGAGTGTGCATGGTTGATGGGTCTAGCCTCCAGAGTAATTATAATATAGGATCCCTGACATCTTTACCTAAGGATTATCAACATACACCAACTATGAATCGGCCAAGCAGAAATCCAGGGGAAGAAGATGGCAAGGGGGGACCAGATGATAGGCTTGTCAGGATCCGCAACATATTTACACTCTGTGGAAACTACAGAGAGCTCTCTCAACATGTGACAAGTCCAGCACCTACTGTTGCATCAGTTAAATCAGAAAATGAGCAGAAACTGACAGAAGAGATAAACAAAAGTCAAGTATGTGATGAGATGGCATTGGCTTCCAAGGAGAACTACAACCCTTCAGATGTGGTCACTGATGCAGATACTGAAGTTTATGTGAAATGGGAGGCTTCAAAAGAGAATCCAGGGAAGTTCATTACAACACTTAAGGTTGTAAAAGATGCAAGCCTTGCTGACCTGCGAAAGTTGATTGAAATTTATCTTGGTGCAGACAATCAAGCATTCACTTTTCTCATGCTTGGGGTATGTCATTTCTAAATTCTCTAGCTTGTTGGTCTCATCTTGAAAAATGGAAAACTTTACTAAGACAATCATGCTAACATGGTTGTTTTTATTTACAAAAAAATTCTTATAAATCAAGAAATATAGTGCATCTCTGTGATTAAGAAACACTTGATTCAAACTTCTATTGTGTATATATGCAGGACCCCACTGGAGCTTCAGTACCAAAGGAGAAGGAAGCAACAATTCAGGCCACTAAGCTTCCTCTATGCAACAATAAATCGAATGGCTACCTTGCTAGCTTGAGACCACTGAAGGGAATGCAAAGCCCAAGTCAGCTCCCTTTAAGTCCTCTCCCATTGAAATCAATGGAAAATAGACTACCACTCACCCCAAGTTCCTGCTTCGCTGTCCAAGGTGATTGTATGACACCCAAAGTAGCACCAAACTTAGGTTCTACTCCTTATATTACTGTCAGGAGACATTAGTAGTTCTGATTGTGTTGGTTGTAGGAAGTGCACTTAGACACTGCAACTTTTGTAATGAAAACTCCTGTGTCAGACTCAGACAGTGCAACTTTCAACCATATTTTGGTTGTTTAACACCCAGAAAGTAGGATCAAACTTGTGTATTGAAAGTGCACTATATATAAATATGTTTCTTTTGATTGTGCCTCATGTTTGTGTCCCTCTAATTTCTTTTGGTATATATGCCAGTATGGTTATGTACTGTACATCTTATGAAAGTTAGTGAACTGAAAAGATCACGTATTACAGTGCTAACCCAATATTTTGAAACAATGCAATGTAAGTCATCCGTTAATTTATGAGTGAGAGAACACCAAATTTGCATCACATGGACAACTAAAAATCCTAACAAAATTCAGCTGCAATTTACAAATGTTTTAACAAAAAAAATAAAATAAAATACATAACTAAATAAATAAATTGAAAATCATTTTTTTTAACTGGGATTTTGTTAGATTGGTTGTGTTGTCGTGACTTGGAGAGGAATACACATAAAATTTCTACAAACAAATATTTTCTCATAGTTCTCATATTTAAACATGGTATCACAACGACGATTTTGGAATTGCTGACTCTTATTTCAAATCCCCGCCGCCCCTATGGGGGTTGATTATTTATAAACTTGTATTTATTCAATCCTCATGGAGGTTGCACCGACGACTTCTTATCTCCTTGTCAACCAACCATAGCCGAGTTGAGTGTCCAAGTGGCTAAGGTCCGACAAATGCAGATTTCGACCCTAAACCTGATTTTGAATAAGGATCCTATTTTGATGACCCTAAACCTGATCCTGAATCAGGATCCTATTTTGACGACCCCGTCCCCGACTATGACGATGACCTCGACCTTGACCCCGAATCTGTCTCTAATTCAGACCCATATCTCGACTTTGACTCCGACTTCAACCCCGACTCACGCTCAGATCTCGATCTCGATCAAGATTCCTACTAAACTTGTATCATATGCATCTTTTGCTGCACAGATAATGACTTCCCGACTAACGACCCCTACCCATGGCAGAGATTGTGCATACTGTGGTGATCCGAGACACACTCGTGAGACTTGTTTTAAATTGCATGGCTACCCCAAATGGTAGGCTACTCTCAAAGATTGAACACAACGCGATACAACCAGTAATGGTACTGGTTATGAATTCCATACTTCGGATAAGAGTGATTCCATGAGCTGGATAATTGACTCCGGTACAACTGATCATATGACATTTGATCCTGATGATTTTCTGAATACTATCCAACCCCAACGAACTTGTATTGCTAAGGCCAATAGAGTTACTTATCCTGTGACAGGGGCTGACACTGTTGCACTCTCATAATCTCTCTCTCTCACTATCTAATACTTTACTTGTCTCATCTTTGTCCAATAAATTGATATTCGTTAGTCAGCTTACTAAACAATTGAATTGTTTTGTACTCATTTACCTGATTTTTTATTTGCTTCGTGATATTCACATTAAGGAGATTCTTGGTCGTGGTACTAACAAATGGAGTCTCTATTATGTAGATGACTTCAGTCCCGACATAGCTAACAATGTGACACATCCCTCTGATAGTAAATAAAAGAAAATCTGGTTGTGGCACCGTCGATTGGGACATCCGACTTTTAGTTATCTGAAACATCTTATACTAGATTTATTCTCAGGTTTCAAGGACTCCAACTTCAAATGTGATACTTATATTTTGGCCAAAAGTTATCGTGTGCCCTATCTGTTGAGTACCAACAAGTGTACTACTCTGTTTACATTAATTCACTTTGATATCTGGAGACCTTCACCTATCACTGCTTTTTCTGGCGTTTGGTGGTTTGTTACATTTGTAAATGATTGTACACAGATGACATGGTTTTATTTGCTGAAGAATAAAAACGAAATGGTTTCTTGTTTTCATTTTTTCCACAAAAATATGAAAACTTAGTTCAATGCTCAAATACAGACTCTTTGCTTAGACAATGGTGGAGAATTGATTAATCATGACTTTCAGGCTTACTTCCAACAACGTGGAATTATCTATGAGACGTCTTGTCCTCAGACACCACAACAAAATGGTGTTGCTAAATGAAAGAATCGACATCTTCTTGAAACAGTCTGAGCACTTCTGATTGGCATTCATTTTCCTTGTCATCACTAGGATGATGCTATTGTCACAACAATTTACATGATCAACCACATGTCTTCTGGTGTATTGAACTTTAAAACTCCCTTACAAGTGCTTGCACAACACGGGCCCCTACTCTCTATTTTGGTACTCACATCCCGAATATTTGAATGTGTGGCCTTCATTCATCTCCACAAAAATAAACGTAGAAACTTGATCCATGTGTGCTTCATTGTGTTTTCTTTGGTTATGTCACTAATCAGAAAAGCTATCGCTGTTATCACCCTTCTACTCGGCATACCTATGTCACTTTGGATGTGACTTTTCTAGAATCCGAGATATTATTTCATGACCTAACATCCAATTCTACGCTTCATAGGGAGATACGAAGTAAAAATCATAATTGGAGCAACTTGGAAAACGAAGAAATTCGCCTCTGTACAGAAGCGATCGGTCATCTTGCCTCTGATGATTGATGGCCCCGAGCTCTAGAGCATGAAATTGCTCTCCACCAAGAAATGATCGATTGTCCAAACCTGATGATAGATCGTTTAGCCTATGGAGCACGAGATTGTTCTCTACCGAAGAGAGATTAATTGCCCATTCACAGCGATGGATCGCCTGACCCGCCTGACCCTTGCGATGATGTTTCTAATCCAAGTCCCACAAATATAGACAATACAGAACAACGAGCTGAAGACCCCATATCTAACTCAACAGTACTAACAGACCAATCTTCTGAGAATATCCTTGAGGTAACTACTACTACTACTACACTTGTAATATATTAGATACCAATTACCTTTCATGCAAAATCTTGGGGAGCCTCTAAATCGTTATTCACCTAATATTGGCAAGACATCAAAGTATCCAATTGTGAATCATGTATCCACTAAGAAGCTGTCTGAACCTCTCAAGGCATTTGTGCATCAGTTGTCTGCTATTTATATCCCAACAAAGGTTGTTGAAGCATTGAAAGATCCTAAGTGGGTTCAAGCTATAAAGGAAGAGATGAAAGATTTTGAGAAGAATCATACTTGGACACTGAAAAGTTTTCCGCAAGGAAAAATGATTGTCAGATATAGATGGGTATTTATCATAAAACACAACGCTAATGGATTTATCAAGCGATACAAGGCAAGACTTGTGGTGAAAGGGTACACATAGACTTATGGTGTAGATTATGAAGAAACCTTTGCACTAGTTGCAAAATTGAACACAGTCAGAGTCTTGTTATCCCTCACAACTAATTTGGACTGGCCACTACACCAGTTTGATATAAAGAATGTTTTCCTACATGGAGAACTCACGGAGGAGATGTCTATAGACATTCCTCCTAGATATAACACTATTCAAACTGAAACAATATGCAAATTACTGAAGAACAATGGTTTCAGACAGAGTAACTCAGATCATATGAAGGTTTACCATGGCAATGAAGAACAATGGTTTCAGATAGAGTAACTCAGATCATACTTTGTTCTTGAAACATCAGAAAGGGAAGGTAACAGTTTTAATAATCTATGTTGACGATATGATTATTACTGGGAATGATAAATAGGAAATATCTTAGCTATAAGACTATTTGGCTACTGAATTTGAGATGAAGAATCTAAGTTGACTCAAATATTTCTTGGGAATTAAGGTGGCCCGATCACAATAAGGCATATTTCTCTTTAAAAGGAAATATGTCTTGGACTTGTTGATAGACACATGAATGTTAGATTGCAAACCTGTAGACACTCCTATTGTTCAGAATCATCATCTTGGAGAATATACGGATCAAGTTCCAACTAACAAAGAAAGATACCAAAGGTTAGTGGGAAAATTGATCTACTTGTCTTATACTCGACCAGACATTGCTTATGCGGTGAGCATCATTAGTCAATTTATGCATTCTTCGGATACTTAGATATTTGAAGTTTGAACTCGGAAAAAGACTTATGTTCTCAAAACATGGTCATCTAAATATTGATGGTTATTCAAATGCAGATAGGCAAGGCAGTGTAACAGATAGAAGATCGATATCGGGTTACTTCACATTCGTGGGAGGTAATTTGGTGACATGGAGGAGCAAGAAACAGAAGGTAGTCTCTTTATCCAATGTAGAAGCTGAGTTCAGAGGCATGACTACATGATTTTGTGAGCTCTTTTGGTTAAGCAAGTTGTTTACTGAACTTGAGTGTAAACCCACGTCCACAATGAATTTCTTGTGTGACAACAAGGCTGCTATAGCTATTGCACAAAATTTGGTTCAACATGATTGCACTAAACATGTTGAGGTGGATCGACAATTCATCAAACAGAAGCTTAAGGCTAAAGTGATTCAGTTTCCTTTCGTGAAGTCCGAGGATCAATTGGCGTATATTTTGACAAAAACGATTTCCAATAGAGCGTTCCATAATTCACTGGATCAGTTGGGTATTAACGACATTTATGCACCAACGTGATGGGAAGTGTTGGCGTGATCTGTGGACTATTGACTTTCTTTCCTTACACACCAAGAATTCTCATTATAATTGTATTTGATTTACTTTAATTTCTGATTTCCTATCGTAAATAGAAATATGAATTTATTATTTACTTGGCCATTAAGGCTCCGTTGTATTATAAATATGACATTATACATTGAGAGAAATACATAGAAAATTCATACAAACAAATATTCTCTCATAGTTTTCATATTTTAACAAGTTGGACTTACATGGTTCACAAGGTGGAACCAAGAATTTACATAGGGGTGGGCTAATAATATTTTGTTTTGTTGGAGCATGGACTGTTGTTTGTATGACAAAACAAACGAACAAATAATTCTACTTTAACCCAATATGTATAATCATTACCTTTCTCAATAACTTTCTTAACACTTGACAAGTTGACATGTGTACCATCACCACTTTAATCCATGAGCATAACCATAGTTACACAAATACAAAGCAAATAATTAACTATGGTTATGCCCATAAACGCATGTAAAAATATTGAGAATGATGATTAGGTGTACCCTATTATGATAGGAACACATGTCATTAATATAAAAATAAATAAATAAAAGCAAGGGGCTTTTACAATATCTCCATTATCAAAAAATTATAATAAAACAAGGAAAACGAAAAGTGTAAATCCGCATATTAAAAAAACGAAAATGTAAAGAGAATTATGAGATAATAAATAACCATTAAAGAACATCAACTCCAAACAATAGAGGTCTGTCAAATTTGTCTCTTTCTCTACCACCTTGGTTCTTTGTTTGGTTTTAGAGTTAGGGTTTCAAACCAAATAAAATGAAAGAGCAGGGGATTTGACAGTCATGGCAACGAGCAGTAGTCGGATGGAAACAGTACTTACTTCTACTCAACACCACCCGTCCAGTTCACACCAAGAAGAAGAGGTTAACAATTTTCAATCTTTCATCTTTTGTTCTTTTCTTTATATATAATTTAGTTTCTCTTCATTTTGTGTATATTAGTGTTTTGATACTGATCACTGAGTCTCTGGTTTCCTTGTGATTAGTTTCCCATAAAACTTAGTAGAAAATGTGGTTTATGTGTTCTTCATTCACTTTATTTTGAGTGTAAAACTGCATTTCATTTTATGTCTCTCTGGGAGTTGGTAAGCATTTCATTTGTATGCTCAGTCAAGTCCATAATATTTCAGTGGTTGTTTAACACATTCTTTATATGCATGTCTGTGTGGTTATAAGTTTATAAGACATTCTTTAAATTCTAGAAATTCAAGATAGTCTTTCACTAATATTTTCGTTTCCTATGAAAAATTTAGAACCTTTCATTAATATTACGTATCTCCAAGAATTCTGAACTTCAACCATAGCCTTATCATTTGATCTCCAAAATAGCAACTTTATGAAATGGCAACAAAGAAAAATGTAATAGCTTTCCTTTGAAATTTAGTCTAGGGTTGGAGACTCCAAACTGTTCTCTCTAAGAAATTTTGCATTGGTGTAACTGTGTGCTGTGTTGCCTGTTGGAGTTGTTTCTGAGCTTTTAAATCTCTGGTAGAATTTCTATTAGGCTAGAAAGCTTGATTATCTCCTCAAAGAAAAGGAGGACTTATCTCATTTGGTTTCGCTTTTGTGGCATTAGCCTCCCCTGCATTATATTTGCTGTTGGAATGTGTCTAATGTTACCAATGGCCTAGTCATTTCTTTTACCTATGGATCATATTTCATATGCCAAGTACTCCTTAATGTGGATTGCAGACTGCATGATCTGTGTATTTATTTTATGCCCTCCTACTGTCCTTGAAAAATAATATAAATAGACTTTTTATTTATAGGATATTAGAGTTAGACTCTTTAAGGAAGATGGCCACAGTTGGTGTTAGAATCTTTTATAAGCTTATTCATTGATTCTTTATGCGTGGTGTGAAGCATAGATTGCTTTTCCTTTTTCTTTTCTAGTTAACCGGATATGGGAACAATTGTTCTGGTTGTAAAATTATTGTAAATTAAGCAGGTTTTCGGTTCGGCCTTTGTTATAGTATTGTTTGGGTTAAGTACATATATCTTTTTATTTGTTGCAGATTAATGTTTTCTTGAAGATTATGTGAACTGTGGCCTTAACAGTCAAAAGCTCTGAGACGATAAAAGATCTTAAAGCACTGTTATGTCAGAAGTATGGATTTGCTGAAAATCATCAGGAGCTCTTTTTGGGTGGTGATATGCTCATGGACTACCAAAGTCTAGTTGACTGTGGAGTTCAGAGGGACTCAACTGTTCATCTTGTTCTCCAGAATACTGTCGGAATCAAATTATTTGTCAAATTACCATCAAGTCAGGGCACCATTGAAATTGAAGCAAAGGCTCATGATACCATCCGAAACATCAAGGCCATGATTCAGGCCAAGGAGATGATTCCATCGGATCAGTTCACTCTTGTCTATGGTGGAGAATTGCTTGAAGAGGACAGCACACTGGCCTCATTAGGTTTCAAGAGCGAGTCAACCCTGCAAATGATTTATGCTCCTAAAAATACCCTTTCAATATCTGTGAAAGCACCATCAAGAGAGACTGAAACTCAAGGTTAGAGCCTTGTTCACTGTCAATGATGTCAAAAATATAGTTGGGAACACTATAGGTGTCTCAGTCAGTTATCAGAGTTTGATCTATGCTGGAAAACAGCTTGAAGATCTCAAGACATTGGCTTTTTATGACATTAGAGATGAATATGTATTGGAGATGTAACCTCGTTTGTTTCAGATATTTGTTAAAGTTTTTGATGGGAGGAGAACCCTAACTATCGATGTGAAGCAGTCTGATGTTGTTGAAGATGTGAAGGTCAAGGTTTTTCGCAAGCTTAAAGTGTCTATGAAGCGTTACTATTGTTGTAGGCTTTTGTTTGGTGGGAAACGTCTTCGTAATGGTCGGGATCTAGCAAGCTACAACATACAGAAGGACTCCACCCTTAGTTTCGTTATGTCAGCAAACATTTTCTAGAGGGTCGTAGGCTAGCGTGGTTAGCTATCTTTTGCAGATTAGCAGCAGCAACAATATTTTGGCACAGGTAAGGTTAGAGAAATGATGAGTCACATGTGAGATTATCTAGGTAAGATTAATTTCAAGTGTAATGCACTTAGAATAGGGTACAACTGTGCTGAGCTCACTGTAGGTATGTGCAATGTTCAAGCCAAAAAGTAGGATCAAACTTAAATTGTGCAACTTTTGTATATAAATATGTTTCTTTTGATTGTGCCTCATCATGTCTGTGTCCCTCTAATTTCATTTTCTTTCATATTTCTTTTTGTAAATGAAAATTGTATAAAGACTCTGTCTCAAATTTAAGATCTTTGCTTGAAATAGTGTTCCTTTTGGAGTAAACATCCAATTGATAGTGCAGTACAATCTATTCCTAGATTGTGCTTTCCAAAGGCTCATGTTGGGTTAAAGCTTTCACGTGATTCTCACGTGCAATGTAGTGTGTTATCTTCCTAAAGTGAATTGTTTTGGTCCTTGTTCTTTAATTATTTGAAGCCTTTCTTTACAAGGGCGATTCAATCCCATTCTCATAGGCTATACTTAACCGCATGTAGTGAAGAGGGCTTGCTTATAAAGGAAGGTTTTGTTTTTGTTTTTGTCTTTTATCGAAACTTGTCAAGGAAGGTTGAGAATCTTTTGAGTCCATAACAAGTGACCAACGGCTTGGAAGTAAAACTTTTCAATCATTGATCTCGTTGCCTTTGGTAGAGCTGAAAAGATGAAGAGGCAGATGCTATGATAGTAAAAGCACCGTTTGATTAAAGATAGGAGAGAAAGAGGAAGAGGAAGAGGAGAAAAAAAGGAAGAAAGAGGGAAAAGTGACAGTAGAAAAAGAAAGAAGAAGAGCAGTGCGGGTCCGGTCTGTTTTTAGAGAAAATACGGGTAAATACAAAGCGATTGGAAATTAACTATGCAAACACATGTTTATGCAATTCAAATGGAATGAAACATGTATTAGCATCTTCAAGGGATGAAGTAAAAGAGTAGGCAAACCTTATTTGCCTTGACACATCAGCATTTTCATGCTAAAAGGTAATAGGTAAGTAAAATATACACTCTCCCCAACAAGGCAATGTGGACTACTTCAAAATGAATAGGTATATTGGGCGCCACTTGCTTTTTATGATAAAAATATCACATACACTCATTCATACTTTCTATAAAATATAATAATAAATGTAAAAGATAAAAGTTCATAATATAATAATAGTTTGTACAATTGCATTGTCTAGTCCCTTGGAGTGGCACTGGCAATGGGTTCAATCGGGGGTGGGTATACTATTCTCATCCCCATCCCCGCCTTCATATCCACAATATTCATATCGGGAATTCCTAATCCCGTCTTCATTGGGGAAGGGGTTCCCTGACCCGCATCATTACGGAAGAAAAAACCAACAAAAATGTATACTTATAACTTATAAGACAATATAAGAATGTTTACATATTGGCGGGAGGTTAACTTATAAGACTCTATAATATATATATATATATATATATATATCTGTGTGTGTGTGTGTGCGCGCGCGCGTTCGGGTTGTGGATTCAAAATACTATCCCCGCCCCTCCTCGAACACCATACCTGTAAAATTCCCCATATCGATCTCTTTATCCTTCATACTCGACCCATTAGGGTTGAATTCCAACGAACTTTTACCCGCAGAGAAAATTGTCATTTCACTTACCAACTTTTTTCATTAGGCAAATGGATAAACAACATGCCACCTAAGTTGTTATAGTGTATTTTTTTTTCCTTATTTACATACTCCTGGGATATGCTCACCATATTCGTAGTTCATTGGTGATGTATCTGCTGGAGTTGAAAAAAAAAAATCGATGGAATAACCGCAAGCAACGGGAAGAGGGTCTACCCAGCGAGTGAAGACTGTTGTAGGGGGCCCCGCAAAAAATGACCTTAATTCTCTTTAGCCTTTTCGTTTCCCTTTAAAAAAAATATAATTTATAAATAAATGACCCATTAAGGAGCATCACTCCAGTCTCCAAACAATACAGAGAGGTCTGTCAAATTTCTCTCGTTCTCTACCGCCTTGGTTATAAAAAAAACAGAGACAGCAGGGTTTGACAGTCATGGCAGCCAGCAGTAGTCGGATTGCAACAGTACTTTCTTCTACTCAACACCACCAGTCCAGTTCAAGCCAAGAAGAAGAGGTCGTTAACGATTTTCAACCTTTCATCTTTGCTTTATATACTATTTTGTTTTCTCTTCATTTTGTGTACTGTATATTAGTGACTTGATACTGATCACCGAGTCTCTGGTTTCGTTGTGATTGGTTTTACCATAAAATAGAGAAAAACAGAAAACAAAGTAGAAAATGTTGTCATAACACATTCTTTATACTTTAGAGATTCAAGATAGAATCTTTCACTAATATTTTTGTTTCCTACAAAAAGAAGTTACAATCTATGAATAATATTTTGTTTCCTATGAAAAAACTTTGAACTTTTCACTAACATTATGTATTTCCAGAAATTCTGAACTTCAACCACGACCTTATCATTTGATCTCCAAAATAGCAACTTCATGAGTATTCTATTTTTAAACCAACTTTTCCTTTTGAATTTAGTCTAGGGTTGGAGACTCCAAATGTTCACTCTAAGAAATTTTGCATTGGTAGTAACTGTGTGCTGTGGTTGCCTGTTGGCGTTTTTTTTTTATAGCTTTTAAATCTCCGGTAGAGTTTCTATTAGGCTAGAAAGCTCGATTATCTCCTCAAATCTGGTTTCTCTTTTGTGGCATTAGGCTCCCCTGCATTCGTATAATGTTACCAGTGGCCTAGTCATTAACATATTCTGTGTGCTAAGTACTCCTTAATGTGAATTGTAGACTGTATGATCTATATATTTCTGTTATGCCCTCCTACGGTCCTTGAAAAATAATATATATATATATATATATAGTTTTTATTAATCAGAGATTAGAGTTAGACTCTCAAGGAAGAATGGTAATTTTGTATTAGACGTTAGGCCTTATCATGGATGTCTATATCCTAGAGTCTTCTCCCTGGAACACGGGCCACAGTTGGTGTTAGAATATTTTGTAAGCTCATTCATTGCTGCGTGGTGTGACATATTGACTGCTTTTCCTTTTTCTTTACTAGTATATTATTGATGGCCCAACCTGATATGGATAATGGGAACAATTGTTCTGGTTGTAAAAATATTGCAAATTAACGTTTTCGGTTTGGTCTTTGTTATAGTATTGTTTTGGTGAAGTACATTTATCTTTTTCTTTGTATCAGATTAATATTTTTTTGAAGATTATGAGAACTGTGGCCTTAACGGTCAAGAGATCTGAGACGATAAAAGATCTTAAAGCAATGTTATGTGAGAAGTATGGATTTCCAGAAAATCATCAGGAGCTCTTCTTGGGTGGTGATATGCTCGTGGACTGCCAAAGTCTAGTTGACTGTGGAGTTCAGAGGGACTCCACTGTTCATCTTGTTATCCAGAATACTGTCTGGATCAAATTATTTGTCAAACTACCATCAAGTCAGCGCACCATTGAGATTGAAGCAAAAGCTCATGACACCATCCGAAACATCAAGGCCATGATTCAGGCCAAGAAGATGATTCCATCGGATCGGTTTACTCTTTTATATGGTGGAGAATTACTTGAAGAGGACAGCACTCTGACCTCATTAGGTATCAAAAACATGTCAACCCTGCAAATGATTTATGCTCCTAAAGATGTCCTTTCAATATCTGTGAAATCACCATCAGGCAAGACTGTTAAACTCAAGGTTAGAGCCTTGTTCACTGTCAATGATGTCAAAAACATAGTTGGGAACACTTTAGGTGTCTCAGTCAGTTATCAGAATCTGATCTATGCCGGAAATCAGCTTGAGGATCTCAAGACATTGGCTTTTTATGACATCAGGGATGAATACGTATTGGAGATGTCACCTCGTTTGTTTCAGATATTTGTTAAAGTTTTTGATGGCAGAACCCTAACTATTGATGTGAAGCAGTCTGATGTTGTTGAAGATGTGAAGGTCAAGGTTTTTCGCAAGCTTAAAGTGTCTATGAAGCCTTATTATTATTGTAGGCTTTTGTTTGGTGGGAAATTTCTTATTAATGGTCGGGATCTAGCAAGCTACAACATACAGAAGGACTCCACCCTTAGTTTGGTTCTGTCAACAAGCGTTGTCCAGAGGGTCGTAGGTTAGCGTGGTTAGCTATCTTCTGCAGATTAGCAGCAGCAACTATATTTTGGCACAGGTGAGGTTATGTAGAAAAGATTAATTTGAAATGCAATGTACTTAGAATAGGGTACAACTGTGCAGAGCGCACTGTAGGTATGTGCAATGTTGGCCTGAACAGAACAAGTTGCTACATGTGGATCTTAGCTTAAGAAGGAAAACAAACCTGCTTTAATTGCATTTTCCTTCTTTTTTAAAAATGGCTTTTGACTTACTGAGTTTTATGTTCAGTATTTGGATGATAATTCGACGAAGGTCTAAAATGAGAGAACTTTGGCCGTAAGCACAATATCAGTAAAAAAAATCCGTGTGGTCATATTTTCTTATATGCAACATGAATTATTACAAATCAGAATACTTGAATCTTGCAGTAGTTCCTGATTCAAAAATTCTTTTTTCTTTACTCAGTTTGAACCCCATCAATAAATTATTTGAAGTACATAGAGAGTTGACATTCTTAGAGATTTCTTTTTGTCCTTCCATTCAAATGTCAGTGTCTAGTTTTGGACTATTACTATACTATTCTATTGATTTTCCAAATTCTTTTACAATACCCGTGCTTTGTGTGAACCTACCAACTTGTATTAAAATTGAACCAAATTGAAGACTTTGGCTAGAGCCTAGGCTAAATAATTGTTTCATTATTATTAAAGACCAATTATTCAACTGAGAAGCACTTATCCAATAAACAATATAAAAGATTTATATTAAAAGAATTCTATTTGTGTTTGTTAAAGAAAAGAACTCTACATACGGCAGTCTTCAAACTCTTGAGTTTCATCAGAACTATAAAGTTTTGCCAAAACCTGGCAATCTGAACAATCACTCAAGTCTTGAAAATTTCCAATGGAAGCACTGAGACTTCGTAGACCCTCACACCGGGGATACCGAACGCTCCCATCAAGTTACCCAGGTTCATCTCAGCAAAAGGTTGTTATTGCCTTTTATTTACGTACATATTATTTTTCATTGGAACAGTTTAAAGTAATCTCTTTCTTTTTTGTTCTCTCACAATGTCCTATGTATCCTTCATATGATTGAAATTAGCTTCACAAGATTTGTTTCTTCTTTGTAGCAGAGGAATATACTGTGGAAGGTCTTGAAACAAGTAGCTCTGAGCGTTAAGAAATCCGTAGGACACAGGAAGGAAAGCAATTCAGAAAAGCTTCAGGAGTCTCTCTTGGATGATAGTAGTAATTGGCTTCACGATGGCCAAATACCAGCTGATCAAGGAATTCAAAAGGATCCCAGTTACCATATACGTCATCAGAATTCAATGAGAATGAAAATATATGTGAAAATTCCATCAAATCAGAAGACCATTGTATTTGAAGCAAAAGGGTACTATACCATCAATGACATCAAATCCATGTTTCAGTTGAAGGAGGGAATTCAATCAGACCAGTACACTTTAGTTTATGGTGGGAAACTACTTCAAGATTATCGGACATTGGCCTTGCTTGATATACGGACAGAATCAACCCTTTATATGATTTTTAATCCAAGAGATGTTATGCCAATTTTTGTGAAAACACCAAATGGAAAGATTGTCAAGGTTGAAGTTAAGGTCTTGTACACTCTCCGGGATGTCAAAGCAATTGTTGAGAGCTTTATAGGATGTCCTGTTGCTGATTGTAGAATGATTTATGCAGGAAATGAGCTGCAGGATTGCAAGACTTTGGCTTTCTACAACATTGAAGAAAATTCCACTTTAGAGGTGCTGCCTTCTTGGATTCAGATATTTATTAAGACATGGAATGGGAAAACCATTACGCTTGATGTGGCACGGTCGAATACTGTCAGAGAGGTGAAGGACAAGATATTTTGTAAGGTTAGAGTGCCAGTTCATTTTCAGAGTATTGTATTTTCCGGAAAACGCCTTGAAGATAAATGGTGTCTTGCAAGATACAACATCGAGAAAGACTCCACTCTCCACATGGTTTTGGCTTGGTGAACCAAATTCCACTATCATTCATGATACCAGAGGAAATGCAAGCAAGAGTTGAACTTCTGTAATAAGGGCGCTGTTAGATATATTCCTTTGGGTTTGATGAAGATGTATAGTGGTTCCCAGTGAAAGATTTTATATAGAAAAAGGGTACAAGTCGTCATATGTTCGCAACAAATTTAATTTTTTTTGCATTTCTTAATTTTTCATATTACAAAAGTTTGATGAACTCATTTGGTGATGAATATGCTTTGCTTCACGTGGAACAAAAGTTTTGGGAACAATCTGAATTCCTTAAATTACATTTCATTAAAACGATAGAAATTCGATGGAATTTTATTCTTGATTCCTTCATGAAATCATTTTTTGCAAGAACAATTGCATAAAAATTATGGCATGGCAACACTCAAAAGTTCTTTGGTAAATGAGATGAATGTCCTGCAGAGACTTAATTTGTATCCGACCTAAATTGGGTCAGAGATCTCCTACTCCTTCAAGAAATAAGGCTATTTGCTTCCTCTGTTTCAATTTGAATTTTGAGTTGGCACCAGAATGAAATCTTTAGGCTGCAGAAGAACTTCACATGTGAGTTTGGAACAGTAATTTGGCATAAATACTTGGCTTGGAAACAACATGAAAACCAAGAAGCTTTCTCTGAACACCAGGCTGTTGTGGATTCAACTCATCAAATTCTTTTCTATGTATTCTAGGCAGTAAGACAGTGCATAAATTGGAAACCAACTTCTCAAATCTCACTTGGAGCTTCGCAAGTCACAGATATCAACATGATGACGAAAAATAAAAATGATCAATGAAGTAAGCCAGCAGAAGTCACACTTTGAGTTAGAGGGTTATGTTAAGACCTCCCTTTCTGCCATCAGTTAAGATTCCCTCCTGAAAATCCCTCAGAACCCTTCTCTCCTGCCAAAACTGTGTGCATTGGACTCTCACCACTCTTGGATCCATGCTCTGAACCTTCCAATGAAATATCTGTCATAGAATTCTGGCCTTTGGATCTTGATGACCTTCTTGATGATCTTGCTGACCCGCTTTCAGAGGAACCCTTTTTCCTCCTTTGTTTTGGTATCCCAGGTGGATCTTGTGAGGGAGATTCAGATCCAAGGTTGTTAGAATTCCTGCTTCTTCTTGAATGACGGCTACTACCTTCTTTAGCCTCTCGAGAAGGGGAATCCATTACTCCATCCTTGGAGCGGTGGCGCCTAGAATGCTTCTTTGGTCCATCAGAGATCTTCTTGGTGGGGGAACTTTCAGGTTCATCTGTAGGCGAATGGCGCCTCGACCTTGGAATGTCACTTCGATGCACCACCAATTGTTGGCCAGGTTTATGCATATCTGCATAGAGAAGCATACAACATTCAAATGTGAATTGTTGCACATTTTTGTTTATTGCATTTCCACATAACAGGAGTTAACAAGAAAAAGGTTACAGAAAGAATATGATCAATTTTAACTTCACGTTAAAAGTGACATGTTATATTGCCAAACTGTCAATACGAACTATTAGCGTCAACATCATACAGTGAACAGATGTGTTAGAAAATAAGCAAACCTTGGGAGGACAATTCTTTAATAGCCAGTTGCCCAGCGGATGAGACTTCAGGAGAAGATTTGAAATCGTTCATCTGCAAGATGAAATTTTATGTAGTTGCAATTGTATGTTTCATAGAGAGAGAGAGAGAGAGAGAGAGAGAGAGAGAGAGGTTTACCCAGCTCGGCGTACTATTTGCAGAAGGACCATCCCATCCAATGTGTGCAACATGCTTTACATCCGTGGGAAAGCCAATTTGTATTTCATCATCTTTCTCTTCTGCAAAATTTGTACCACTGGGTCAATCAATTTGCTCTTTCTTTTCAATCTCTATTAAAATAAATATTATTTACATCACAATGAAGAGAGATTAAACTAAGAAGAAAATTTATGCTCATGATTTCTCACTGGAAAGAAAAAAAAAACCCGCAAAATTTTCTATCATTAGTTCTCGCCGACCAAAGAAAAACATGCAGAAAAACCCAACCGGAATTTATGCCACAAGACCTTGTAAAACTTGAAAAAGAAAATTATTAGAATTTAGGGAAAAATCAACGGAAATCGCACGTACCAAACATATGTGAAATGTATCTTAGGCCTTTCAAGAGGCCCTTCACCTTGGTTGCCATTTTGTTGGCTCAAGTGCTTTAGGACATGCACTTCAGAAACCTTCAGCTGGAAATTAAGTTGCTGGTAGAAATGGTGCTTATTCTCAACTTCAAATACAAAGAAAGCAAGAATGTATATGACAAGCTCCTGATCATGGAAACCACAAGAAGGAGAAAAGAATAAATATATACTATCAAAAACCATTTGGAAACTCCTCTGCCCAAAGAATATTCAGCTGCTAGTTGCTACATCACCATATTATTTTTTATTATAATTTATTTTTCCAAATTGATCCCCAATAAATGTAACACCAAAAGAAAAAATGTGACAGGAAAAAGAACTATGTGTACCTTGAGAAGAAAAGGCAGAGAAAAAGGCATCAGCATGATACAACCAGCTCCTGCAATCTCAAACCCACATCATGGTAAGTGTTCCCAAGCGTACCCATATAATCCAACAGTGCAAAGAGCGGTCTCATCTCTCTCAAACAATTTACAAATAAAAATTTGCAATTGTTGATTGTGATGCCATGGGGCCAGAAATTTTTTTGAATTGGCAAATCCGAAAAGAATCAGAGTGGAAATGAGAGCATCGGTTTTGTTGGATGGCCCGGTGGCGATGCAGTGCTCATTCCCGGTGACCGGTCATCAAAACCTGTTGCTCACCGGATTTTCGGGTGGGAAAGTAGAGAGATAGAACTAGAAATGGCCAGGACCATAGGCTAAATTTGGGTGGAGGGGGCTTGTTAACGGTTTTTCAGTGAATGCGCGGGAAAAGCGGTTGGTGAAAACAATTGTGTGGCAATTGTGGAATTACTAGCTCACATCTCGTCATCTTAATTTGTATATCTTCTTCCTCTAGAACTTGTGTGACAACCATGACGTACCAATCACTCAAATAGAACAATCTGTTCATATTCTTTTTTCTATAATAAACTAATTTAAATTTAAATTTTCAATTTTCAATTACCCTGGACAGAATGGAAGACAACAATGACACCGGTAGGTCTAATCTTTTCTTCTTATTTTTGCCAAAATTAGGAAGTGGATGGGGAAAACTCACACGAGTATTATGGAGACTTAAATCCAGGACCAGCACATCGAAAGCTTGGGCCAATCCAACTAACACCCCATTGGTGACATGGTACAATGGACGAAATGGAAGACAACGATGACATGGCAGATCTAATCACTCAAATAAAAACAATTTCTACATTTTTTTTCTAATAAAAGGATACATTTTTTATTTTCAATTACCATGCATAGAAAAGACTGGAACAGAAAGAACTTTCTTTTTGGTACAATTGAAAACTTCCGTTTTAGTTTCAGCTCATTCTAGAGAACACGTTCATTATTAATACACCCTAAAGTATAAACTTGTCGACTATATTGTACCATACGGAGTAATAACACTACATGACAACGTTACGAGTAGAAACAAAAATTTGTTCATCTGTCTGTGCCTTCAAGAATTCTATTTGCCAGTCTACATCAGAGGCGCTCAAACCTAGGAATCCATCGGGACCGCTTTCTTTTATTTTTTCAATGGAAACTAGCCATGTTTTTGGGTCAGTTGAAACTAGCCATGAAGAATTTGATTAGAGAGTGGGGATCTACATTTGATAAATTAACAGAGAGTTTAGCTACATGTAATTACATTGTTCTAATAGAGAAATTCCATACCTAGCACCCTGAGATGAGGAAAAATGCTTCGAGGAGTTGAAAATAAGCATAGATCTGACTCCGAGTATTCCGAAATATGAATTATTCTAGGAGAGGAGATAATTATAGATCTAAATATTCCGAAATATGAACTATTCTAGGAGAAGTTTGAATCCGTTCTGTTCGGATCTTCATCGGCATTGGTTGGGTTCGGACGCCAGACTACCAAGCCCATCCCAGTCACCGGCCACCAAAAAGTACAAACAAAAGAACCTAAGGCACATGCTTATATAACCTTAGCATTTGATTATACTGAATTACCCATCTCTATGATATCTTTGCTGTGTACAACATAGTTTCATTCGAACCCTCTCAGGTCAACCTCAACACACTAGAAAGAAGCAGGGAAGAAAACAACTTTCCACCGCACAGGCAAGACATATGGAACCAAATAATAATAACCGACTCTGTAACAACCAATTATAAGTAAAAATTTAGCATTAAAACATTAATAAAATAGCCAAATGAATTCGGGAAAAAGTCGCATTATTTTTCATCTTTGAAGTTGAAGGATTAGGCCACAAGGACATGATCCAAGGAAAGGAAATGGAAGGCAAGGCAACCGAATGCACAAGCCTCCTCTCATCAGGAAACCTTCTCATTCATGAAGCCTTCAATTCATCCATGCCAACACTAGCCTGTGTTAAAAGAGTAAAAGTTCGTCAGCATACTAGCAGTTTACAATAACAAATGAGTTAATAATTTATTATCTTCTTTTTCACATTGTTTTTTCTAAGTAGAAAATCAACGGCATCACAACCGAAGCAACTTATGGAACTTTCCTTCCAACCAATGGACAATATTTCAGCCTTTTGAGTTTCACTAATCTTACAACCACCTGCTTTACTTTTCAATAAAATGGACTGGGTCAAGCATACCAGCTGGATAACTTCAAAATTGAGCACTAAAGCTTCCAAAAGCAAACCTTATGTAGCTAATTAATGGAATATATCTTTTCCTTCAACTTCTCCTCTTAAACATCTATCATTCATTAAACCCAACTACTGTGGTCAATATATGGCAACCTTCAATCTCAAAACTCAACAAGGATGTTAAAGAGGTAACGATCTCACTAAATTCTGCAACATAATAAATTATCTTACCAAAAACTTGTGATTCTCTTTAAG